GCTTGAGCATATTTTAGAGCTAGAATACTTATAAAAATATGTTTAAGGCTTTAAATTCCAAATTTTTTCTGGGGGGGGCCGGACCTCCCTTTTTTCTGGGGATATTCCATACCCCCCTGACTCCCTGGTGGTCATCTCCACCCCCAAAATGAAATCCTGAGACCCCCACTGGGAATAGATGAATAAGTTACCTATAGGAGGTTCTGAAAAAGTCAATTGATTTAGAAAAAAACTGAGCCGTTCTTCAGACTCGATGGATTGTTTCATTACTTCACTGGATTTCCGGAAAACCACCATAAAACTACAACAAAGGCCAAAAATTTTTTAAAAGGTAAATTATAAGTCTTTGTATACTATTTACATTATTTATTTCACTTTGACTGACAATTACACGAATGATAAGAAATACTGTTTTATCTTTGCAGAAAGTATACAATACTAATCTCTGATACTATCTGTAAGGTGCATAGAATATGTTACAACATAAACTTCTACTTCTAAAATACATCATGGTCAGAGGTTCCAGAGAAGACCTCTCTTTAAATGTGTTTTATATAAATAATACTTGTAAGTAATACTGTCGTATTAGGATCTTAGGCTGTGGTTTCCTAGACGCGTAATAGATGCGCAGCGGTTTAGATGCGCTGCGTCTTTTATCCAGGTCCCAAAACGCAGCCGACGTGAGTGGTTTCCTAGACTGCGTACAATACACACGGTTGGTGCGTAACATAAGTTCATGGGAGAGATTACTAGTGGCTACTATGATGTTGTACGATGATTTAGATAATGACATGGATATTTTGGCATTAACAGCTTTGAAGAAGCGTAAGCAGTGAAAAGTATATGTTAGGAACTGTACGTGGCCCTCACGCATCTTTTAACTGTAGTGTTAAGGCAAACATGTCTATTTGATGTAAACAATAAATCTTAATTTACCCTGTCCAACTTTGCTTTTACTGTTATTATATTTACCTATTCGGGATTTACCAAATCGATGAAAATACCTTTTAGAAGTATAACTGCAATAATCATTTTATACTTATACGCCAACCCCGTAAGAAGTTTGGGTAGGCTACTATGCTAGTAATTAATATAGAGTTATTACTAAGATGTTCAAGAGTTCTTAAAATAATTATGGGGGCTCTAATATTTGGGAGTTGGTGTTGTACTGATTTGAAATGAATATTTATCAATGGTAGGTTTATTTACTAATAGCAACAATAAGAAAATATGTGAGCTCAAATTAATTGTAGGGAACATGTAACAAGAGAATCAACTATTAAAATCACACATTATGGGGAAATTAACACTACATAACGAATGATATGAAATATAATACTATACAATTTTAATTGTATGAAAAATTATTTCCATAATATGTCATTAGGAAACCAAATTTAACCAATTTTTTGTCGTGTGAGAATTTTGCCTTCTGTACAACATTTACTTCCGAATCCATTGCATAAGACATGTCTAAAACGCAGCGTAACTCAGATTCGACTGCTCCGAAAGCAGTCGGTCAAATACGCAGCTATTGGTGCGCGCGTATTAGATGCGCGCGCATTAGATACGCAGCCTTGGAAACCGCTTACACGAAACTCCATAAGACAAGTGTGCTGCGTCTTAGATGCGCACACGCAGCGCATCTAATACGCGTCTAGGAAACCACAGCCTTAATAATGATTTCATCAATTTTACAGAAGCACTTTTTAAAAATGAACAAATAAAGTAAATTCTTAAGAACCTCAAAAACAAGACCCACAGCAGCAAGTCATTCTTGATAACAAGCGTCGTTTTCAAATACCTTTGATTTTGTATCTGTCCTGGACACATGTAATGGCAAACCTCAATAAGAAGTCTACCTTGTTAACAAGTATTATTTGATAATTAGTATTAATTTGAATTGTTATCGAGGTTCTACTGAAATTATATTAAGCTAATGGAAGAAACTACTGTATCTTGAATAACCAACACTGAATGACCATAAAAAAATCAAAAGACAAACAAAATTACCTTAGGTAATAGATGGATAGCCTACACTGACTTAAACCAACTTATTTCAACTTGTAACCAACTTTTCTCTATTATTCAAACTAATTTTAAATGCTACAAATATTGCATTGTTAATGATTGCAAAAATAAACTTGTGCTTACACAACAGGAAGACTTAAATTAGTTATACTGACAAATTCTGATAAACAAAATAAAAAATTTATATTTTATAAACCTTGAACTATTTTTATAGAAACTAAATTTCACCAGTAAATATATAACATGAATTACCTACAAAAAAAAATAGGTGTATTTTACTTCTATAGTTTTAAGTCACCTATGTATCAAAAGTTTTTTTTCAAACGAGATCATCTTATCATCCTGATAGAAACTGAATTGTTAGCAGCCACAACAAATATAACACAGATACAATTTTTCAGAAGAATTCAGAAGGTTTGAATTTGGTTCTTTAAAGCATTGGTCGTAAAAAATGAAAGTGTTTTTAGCAAAACTGAAAAAGACTCTAAAAACTATATATATTTTGTGTAAGATGAGGAAAACAACAAAACAGTGTAAAAATATGTATAATAAAATCAATGAATTATGGCTGTGATTCAGCAAGTTGAATCCTTAAAATAAGATTTACTTTCTACGTAAATGTGCACTAAACTACAACAGCTAGGCTAAGAGTTTTAAAATTAGAGTTTACACACAGAGACAAAAAAATATCACAAAAATAAAACTACACAATTTGGCTTTTTTTGTACACCCTAGGAACCTGAGTACAAAATCTAAGGCTAAAATTATCTAAGGCCAGAAACCATTACTCTTAAGGCGGGTAAGTATGTAAACTTTATAAAAAAGGCGAGATTTGAAATGGATTGCTAGCAGATTCTACTTCTTACTAAACAAATGACTAGCGTTCAACAAACGTTGATTGGTCCGAAATATTACATACAACTTAACCTACAAGACTACCAAATAAGGCTAGAATGAATTCATTAGACCATGAAATGTTCTACACAGTTTGCAATATACACTGTACAGGGTTGCCAAGAAGTCCCTTTACACTAACGATAAATTAATTCAATTGGTATTCTAGGGCCAAAGCGGCGGTGGGGGAAGGGAGAGCGAGGCTTCATTCTCTCCCCCCACTACTCACTAACTCCCTCTAGTTCCGTAACTACTCACGTCCGAATATTTGCTGATCCTTCGTGTTTATAACAGTGTACTATGTCCTCCAATAAGCTAGGGCTACACTTGTCCGATTAATTTGGTCCGCTCCCGCTGTAAGTGGTGGCTATACTTGTCAAATCAGCTCCGGTCCGCCCCGATCGCTTCCGCCAAAATACGGTAGAATGCTCCCTGGAGGATTGTTCCGTGCCGAATCGGTTCGGAGCTGAGCTGAGTAGACAAGTGTAGCCACCTCCATTTAAAAACATAGGAAACATTGTTCTGCATTTTGGAGGACTCGACCGGACCGGTCCAAATCCGACAAGTAGCCACTGCTTTTTGTGTAAAGGAACTTTTCGGCCACCCTGTAGTTTGTCCATTGTTAGTTTAGATACCCAATACAAACAAGTTGTTAACATGTTATTAAGTTTGGTAAAACTTAATAAATCTAATACAAACAATAGTCCGTCATTCATATTTGTACCAGTGACAGTGAACACTGTGCATATAGAATGAAACTCATGACAACCTTTGAATTTATATTTTCCCTTACAGTAATATTGCCATGAACTCATTCTAGCCTTATTTTTACCCTGATAACTAACAAAATATTTTATTTGATCTCCATATAATATCAGTAAAAAATAAAACCTTAGTCTTGGAATCAGTAAAAAATATATAATAACAGTGTAACACTGCTAGTTAAACAACTTATTTCTGGGAGTGAATTTTTAAGTCATGTACCACATTAGAGTGTTAACATCAGTTGTGCAAAAATATTATTACAAGTTCAAAAAATATTTCTAAGCTGCTAGATCAGATATGTTATGAGATAATACTACACATCTATTTTGATACTTGGGTAGATTTCACAAAATTACTCCTTTATTTACAAAATATTCCACACAAATATAATCTACACAAAACTCTAGAATCGTTACAACTTACACTAGGGGCTGATAAAATATGATATATTTAATATGATTCCTGAGGTTTTTCTATTTACAATAACTACGCTTAATATTGGTCTTGAATTTATGATTAAGTGGCAGTAAACAGTAAACGATCTGGTCTTGACAAAATCTAATCATCTACAAGTACAGTACCTAATTGTTGTCTTTTGTTATTGTTTTGTGACAGTAATGTTTGCATTGAATGTTGACTGTTGCTACATCTATACATGTTTTATTTGTTTTTACTTCTAATACAAACACAGTAAATTACATAACCAGTACACACCAGAAATTTAACCTCTTTTCAAAAGTTACATTGAAAATTGCATAAAACTTTCGAATAATACTTTTGTAGGCACATGTTATTGTATCTTGTATTCATTTCTTGTTAACAGTTATCATAGTTTAGAATAGTTTTACATTTTGTTAATTTGGATTCTGTCGCTCATCATGAAAATATTACAAATATTTGATTCTCCATACTAAATCTACTACTTATTAGAAAGATACTTTCTCAAAAATATGTCAGTCTCATATTTGCCATCCAATAAAAACACTAATGTAAGAAAAATACCATTAACATATTTAAAATATTTTAATGGATTTGCCAATCTTCAAAATTCCAAAAACTTTGATACATTCCTTGATTTTCAATCACTCCTCGACACAAAGAGGAATGATCCAGAGGAAACATTCAAGTGCAATTCAGGATGTGTCAACTTTGAATCAAACCTTACAGCTCTTGTGAAGAGGTTTAAGTTCAAATTTGGTCTGCTGGATTCAATGATTGAATCTTAAATTTAGTTACAGCTGCTGCTAATACAACTCGGTTGTTTTTTAGTCAGTCAACGTAATGAGAAACCAAGTAGCAATGTTCCAAGTGTCGACATTTTAGTACTTAAAAAGTCTTTATTTTCACTGAACTGTATTTCTTGTACAGGAACCTTGACATCAAGGGAAATAAAAACTGAGCTGTATAGAATGAACATTAACAATTTTTCCTTAATTTCGGGTGATTAACATATGTTTCTGATATCAACAGTTTGGAAATAAATTTTAAAAAGAAGTAAATATAAATAATAATGAGAATCAATTTCAGTAGAGTAAATTCTGTATTGCATTTGATAATGTATACACATAAATTTTAGATTCAGATCTCTACAAGATGTAGGTCCCAGAAATATCACACCATAAGAAAATCTCTCTTTGCTCCTCTTGCCCTCAAAACTAGTCTTGTCCCAATTATTCGTTATCTCTCCATACTGTGCTGAGTGCATGTGTTAATGTACCAAATGTGATCACAGCCCCACTAGCGGCACATAGGCCTACTACAACCTGAACTTTCTACATACAAGTTTCCTGTGGATCCATGCCATCTTTGTTGTGTGCCACTTGTTTCAACACAAAACCTTACAATATTTAAAGCTACGACTGTTCATATTAGTTTTAATAGCATTTGCAAAGACATAAATTGTCAATTGACAAACCTTTACGGCTATTCAGACACTAAATACTAAAAAGTGTCATGAAACAAAAAACTTGGCACTTAGAAATTCTAAGCTTTATATAAAGCTAAATTATGAGATGTTTCATCCCATCAACTGATATTACCTTAGTTCCTTGTACCAGAATCAGCAATGATAAAATCCTATTTTGTTACCTTATTGTGATGTAAGCATCTTCACATTGACAAGATTCATTAACAACTAAGAAACTAACTTCCACGCTCAAATTTTACCTCCAAGTCCTGAACTATAGCAAACAAACGGCTAACTACAGCTAACCATCTTCCAGGGTGGGCTTTAGTCGGCAGGATAGTTTAAAGCTAATACAGACATAGCTCGATACGTTTAGCATGTCTAGGTGATGATACTGAGTCACTTAGGAGCAGACTTGTGTGGAGTCAGGGGTGCGGAAGTGTGTACGCAGATGGAACATAAACTGGTCCCTATTGGTGAAGGACTGATGACACATCAGACAGTAGCTCTGGTCTGGCTGAGGAAACGGGCCGCAGTACGTAGTTGTATCCAGGGGCTGCAACATAATCAAACTACGGTTAGTTGTAACTCTGATTTGTGAGAATAGTAGGGCATAGGGTTACAAAAATAATACCTACTAAATACCTATAAGCTGAGTTCAACTTAAAGCCTTATCCGGCACTCCTCAACCATCGGGTGCAAATTTATCTGCTTAGGCATTTACTTATGAAAACAGGTTGGATACAGAATCCCTATCATTCACACGATATTTCCCACTTTTCCGGTCAACAAATCCTTGGTTTCCCTGGTCGCAGTTCCCACTTCCCAGTTGTCAAATATAACTATTTACTAGGGGGTCTGGTGGGTTTTGCAATGTTTTCAGGTCAGGTGAGGCCAACAATTGTCCCAACAGAGCAGTAGGCCTAGGTACAGTCCACAGTGTTTCTGGGATTGCTGTAAATGTGTGCTCATATGAAAATTGACGATTTTGCCACAATGGTTGGAGACGACGATGTCACTGTGACTACATAAGATATACACAAATTTGCTATCAGCGTTAGTTTATGGTGAAGGAATGTTGATGGTTACAATTTTGCCTTGACTGTCAAAGAAATTCTCGATGTTACGGTTATGGAACCATGTTAAGAAGGTGGGAACTGGCATTCCGGTATTAAACCAGCTCCAGAACCTCCCCCCCCCCCTACCACCAACCACTACCTAAGACACACCTGTTCAAGCAGCTAGCTAAAATGCATAACAGGCCTAGTGTGTGTATACAGTATATGTATTTTTGAGCGTATATAAATATATGTTTTGTAGATAGTTGTCAATAAACTAGAGATATGTGGCAACACTGCATAGTTGGCAACAGCCATCACAGCCCCAGTAATCTTGTAAACTCTCTACCAGGGTGAATTATTGTTTGTTCAGTGCCTGCACTTCTCCAAGGTATAGGCCTAATATGTTCTAAATCCAAAATATTATAATTTTAACCTCAACTCCAGTGAAATAGGTACTATAACACGAGTCAAATGGTTTTCTGGTAACCACAGTGATAATATTGTCGGCATGTCTAATTAGACCGATAATGTCTAATTAATTGTAATCTTTTGGGGGATAAAGGGGGTAAGGGGTATCTTTTCTAAATTAGGGCAGGTTCAACCAACAATAAATTAACTGATGTAACTAAATTAACTTTACAATTATCGATATCATGTTTAGGGCAAGTTGCTGCAGGCGAGTTTCAATGGCGAGGGGTAGTTAAAATTAAATAAAAATGTAGTTAATGAATTTATTCACGACTTATCAAAGCTGGCTTACGCTGGGCAGGGTTTACGTGAGTGCTATTGGGTAGTGGAATCAGCACGATATTTATTAAATGTGGATCTAGCTGGGTTAATTCCAGTCCGGACCCCACAAACTAGCACTGAACCTAACATAAGAAAAAAACGCAAAACTCACCATAACGGAAGGGTGAGGTGGGGGAGGTGGCGGGGGAGACATGGAAGTGCTCTCGTCCTTCATCTCCTTCCTAGGTGCAACCAGAGTGTGCTGAGGCTGCGGAGGGCGGGAGTCTGGCACACGCTTGGACAGTGGGGCCAGGTTCGATGGAGTCAGATGCTTCAGTTTGTTCATGTGTATCACCAGCTTGTCTCGTCGGGAGAACGCTTTCTTACAAACTTCGCACACGTAAGGTTTCTCACCAGTGTGGATCCTCATGTGTATCACCTACAATTAAGTAAAACCCCTTTAACAATAAATTTCTGCTGATCCGCATCGCAACTGGACAAGTTCAAGCTGGACTTAAAGATAAGTCAGGAAAACTGTAAAATTTGTAACTTGACAAGAACTTCAAGTTCAACGAGAAAATAGACAATGGAAATATATTTCCATATACCAGTCTTATTTTTCAACCTTATCATCATCCAAACAAGGCTTCAAAAACAGTTTACTAGAAATACTAGAATATTATAAAGAATTTACTACTTTATGTAGGGTTCTAGGATCAAAGTAGACTCCTTCTTAGGAACATAACGGCATTATTGAATCTGCAAAAGCACCAGCTGACGTTTTTATAGATTACTGCAACGCATCCAAAACCTAAATCCAGTATTTTCACCAGTTCAATGAAGTGATAGTCTCCCAAAGACCAAATATTTCACATAGAACAAAAAGCTTTTTTACAAATAAATAAATTAACTTACAAGTTTATCTTTCCTAGCCAAGCCTTTCCCACACTCGGTGCAGGTGAAGCTCTTATTGTTATTCTCCACCTTGGGCTTGGGCTTCTGCAGTGACATCTGGTAGGTCTGAGTCTGGGAAGCGTTGGTAGATGGCGAGGCCTTTTTCACTTCATTATAGGAGTTTTCAGGCTGGTAACTTTGTGAACTAGAGCTGCTCGAGTAATCTGGAGCCCTGAAATAACATTTTTGTGGACTAACAATTTCTCAGACAATTTTGATTAAAAAAATAACAGCTTCAAAGGGTAAATCAAACATCTCAAGTAGGCTTACTTTGTTAATCTTTGTCTTTGGATACTAAAATGTGACTTATTGCACAATCGAAATCTTGATTTGAAATAAGTTTCACGTTTGATTAAATGTTTCCAGGTGCTAATATCTATTGCTTGTGTTAGGGGAAATTGAATGTACAAAAGTTAGTGAAATAACATAATAACGGTACTGAAAACTCTAGGATGCATAAGTTACGGTAGCCTAAGATTTGTAAGAAAAACTTTAAATCTCTCTTACACCGATAGAACTGCTTTTACATTTTGTACGCTACCGCTACCCCTAATAAATCAAGCCATTTAACCATGGGTTAACAACTGCCGGATCAGCTGAGCTTGGAGGAGGACGGATGGGGGTAGGTGCATTGTCCATTGTTGATAAGCCATTCACACTCCTGGCCTTATCTCATAGTTGTTCTAGTTCGTCTTTAACAACGTATAAGTACACCGTACTGACAACCACCGATGGTCGTGAAAGTGGCTTGTCTTCTATTGCCATGAAAAGCAACTCTTGCCGTATTTCGTTTCCTCCAATCAGACTCCTTGTAAAGTTGGTGGATGTCAGTACGGTGTACTTAGCCTGAACGTTGTTAAATATGAACGAGAACAACTACGAGATAAGGCCAGGAGCGTGAATGGCTTATCAACATTGGACTATGTACCTACCCCTGCCTCCAAGCTCAGCTGATCCGGCAGTTGTGGTTAGGCGTTCGACCCGCGTGCGGAATAAAAATAGTATTTTTCTACCCTGAGGAAGAGGAAGGTTTTTTTGAGTTCCGCGAAAACGTCGGACTTTTGATGCCATGGACGATTTTGTGTCGTAAGTGTTTATTTGTGTTTTGACAAATCGTCCTGGACATCACAGACAAAAATAAAGGTGAGTGAAGCCCATAATAATCTTCGTGAATAACATATTCAGTGGTCACAGCAAAAACATGAACGACTTTGACGGTCACCAGTAACATTGAGAACATCGCTCATAATCAGGGCGAAATCGTAAACATCTGCGGTGACGGCAAGATCGAGATCATCAACCACGGTCTTGGCCAAATCATGCACATCTTCCAAGGTTAAGAGAAAATCTTGAACATCTTCCACGCTCTCTGGACATCACCGTCTCTCACTATCATTGTAAAATCAATTTTCAACAGAAAAACCAACCAGGTTTTTCTGTCAGGAAATCTGGACAAATTAGTGAATTTTATCTAGGACTTCTACCTAGAATCACTACCGTACATATTTACATTGTAGAGTAAAAATATAATTTTAAGTCAAACAATTTACACTATGCCATTGGCCACAATAGTAAATTATTCACATTTTTTTAAATGCACCTTTAAATATAAACTGTCAAACCAATGTTTAAAATAGCGTAAAATAAAACATTTTTAGGCCTATCTAAATTTTAATCATCTTCCGGGATAGGTAATTCTGATGGACGCCAATAACAGAATTACCTATATTTTTTTAGGCTACTAAGAAATGAGCCCTTTACAAAAGTTACCCTCTCCTTGCAATTCATATAGGCCCTACCCACACCATAGCCTACTCATATAGCCATACTTAGTTCTATAGTGCATAGTTTCATATAGACTAATTAAATATTTTTTACTTAGCTAGTCAGCAACAGCTTGAGAATTAGGCTTACCATGTCCCAATAGAGCGGAGTACTCTGACACCATCGTCGTAGCCAAGCCCGTCATCTGGAACCATGGTAAAAGACTCCTGAGAGTGGTTAACTTGGGGCACTTTAAGGCTGTAGTTTACTTGTTGCTCATCCATTTTGAGTTTCTGCTGTGACTGTGCCGCAAGATGCTGTTGAATCATGGAGTTTGTTGCAACTGTTAAGTATCCATTCTTGTTGTTATCCGCCATATTTTCTACAACAAAAACTGTACCAGTAAGTAATACCAAAACATACTCCCTTAGTAGATTTGTCATTCTTATGGAACAGCTGAAGCCAATTTTATTGTTGGTTCTGTACGTCCAACTGTGGGGTTGTGTTTTGTTTACAATTTGTTTCTTGTTATTTCAGTCATTTAAAACCTCATTTAACCAAATAAAACTATATAATCATAAACAATAACTGGTCTCAAAGTTATATACCGGTAATCAAATAGTAAAGCACAAATCATGAAAATAACCCTAAAATAATATAAACAAAATTTTGTCTACTCCAGCGATCAGTGTGGACGTACATGAACTAGACACAAAAAACAAGCTTCAAAATTTACAATGGGATAAGGAGTCTACTTGTGTTGCTTAGTCTATGGTAATACATTGGTTGGAAGTATAAGTACAACCAAAATTTAATAACATGAATGGACAACATTTTAATTAATGGGCTTAGGGCCTAACATTAGTAGGCTAGGCCTAAGTTAAATAACACTGACATGAATTTTTTTGGGTGTCAGAGGGTTACCGGTAGGTATTTTAAAATATATTATAGATTTTGATTCAGGGACAGATTTGATAAAAAAGAACATAATTCTTAATCTTATAACTTAGGTAAGGGTTTAATCTGTTACATCCCTATTTCGCCCATCCTGCTTAGTAAGTTTTTCAAAAATAATACCAGATTTTACCGTTAGACTAACTTAACAGCCAAAAGTAACTTAGTTTCGTCTAGTGTGTAACCATTACCTTAGAGCCTACCGGTATTAAAAAAAAAACATTTTAAGTTAGGTGTAACAGTTTAGGCCCCTACACTTTAACTTTTATGGGGAGTGCCCTTTATCAAGAAAGTGATTCAAAGAGAGAGAGAGAGAGATTCAAGAGAGAAAAAGAGCAAGAAACAGGTATGTCACCCCTAAAAAGGTTTCCTGTGGGCACCCATGGTAGGGCCTAAAGCTAAATTGGGAAGTTTCTTAAGTTAGTTTCTTTCCAAAGCAATAATCTAGGTACAAAAGATCATACAAAATAGGCCTACAAAAAATCACAGAAATTCTCTTTGAGTTAAGGGCTAATTTCGAGGCCAAAACATCTATTAAACAAAACTTGACATGATTAAGATAGGTGTCTGCTTTAAAAGCCATGCAATATGTTCAGTAGGCCTAGGCTTTAAACTTGTGTTACACTAGACCTATGCCTAATTTAATTAAACAGCTCTTAAGTTAACTCAACTTTTAATAAAAAAAATTTTTAATCTTTAATTTTCTCATATTTATTTACTAAGTTTTATTCCTGCCTTGAAACCTTAGGTTCACTAATAATTTGTCATAAATTTACTATGCCCACTAATTAGGTAGTTGGGTAGCAATAGGCCACTACAGTGCATCCTGTCAACTTCAGTCAGTACTCTCAGATAGATAAATTTATGACTGAGAAATATGAGTAAACTGGGAAGGAACTGGCAAATATTATTGTAAAATGACTTACCCATGAATGTCTTAGGCAATTTCTATTTAATAACATACCTGAATTCGTTTAATGTCGAAAATATTGCAGATAACCGGCCTGGACTACACAACAACCAAATTGGACCAAACAAAACAATCAATAAAAGTCAATGTCAGACAGAGACAGAATGAAGCTTTGAATTCAGCACAGACCGATAGCAAATTCCTAACAATACCTGTATAATATAAAGTTAATGTGTATGTAACTAGTTTACATAGATTTAATTATTAATATATGATTGTAATAGAGTACCAAGATAAGAATATCAATATAACAATTTAAAATAATTCTGAATCTATTAAACACGCTTCACCATGGATTAAGGGATAGAATTAATGAATAAGTACCTATATATTCGTCGGCTATACAGTGTGCTATAATTTTTTAGCACCGTTAAAATTGTTTACAAAAATTGTTACTGTATTTCGATTTGTAGTTTTGTAGCTAATATTCCATTCATATCTAATGCACATCCAACTAACTCCGTCGATTTTCGATATTTTGTACTAACTTATAGTAAACATCTCGAAATCTGTAGCGTCTACGCATTTTATACCCGTAAACTCCATGCTGGAAGATACGTAAACCCGTGCTTTGCAACGGGAAGAGGACGCAAAAATAGAAACATTTTGATCTTTTAATAATCTTTTTTTAATCTGTATAAAATAGTTACACATCCGCCAACGCTTTTAAACCAGGGGCCCTATTTTTGAAATGGTTGACAGTTGAGTCAATCGTCAGCACTCAACTCAACCAACAACATGATTTGGTATTTTTGAAACCCAACAGTTGGGAAGCGAGTTGGGAATCACTAGTTGAGAGACTAGTGGTGGAAATGTAGAGCATATACGACCGTCAAAAATTCAGATGACGTCATTTTGAACCAATCACAATGCAGAGTTCTTGCGGACTTCGATTTAACCTCTTCTTACCCTAAAATCTGGCAGCTAAATCTCAATGTGCCATATTTCGAGACACTGAGGTAAACTGTCCAACTCCGTTCTTGAGAGATTGAATTGAGATTGAGGTTATGTCTTGCTTAATCTTAGTGATTGCAAAGTACCTTAACTTAAGTAATAAACTAAAGTAAACTAAATAAAGTAGCCTAATAAACTTAAGTATAAAAAATAAAATTTACTATGGATGTTTGTTTTAGGGTGTAGCTAATTATAAGTTTAGGCATAGGCTGCACTTTACTTTAGGTCCTACACTCATCCTAAATACATTATTATTTGCTTTCTTCGTCTCTATTTCGGAACACATCACCTCACCTTATTTTAGTTTCCTTCGTCGGTTTGTTTTATGTTATTTTTAATTGTTTTTTATTTAGGTTAAAGCGGCTATTTGCCATTGCACTGGAAGCATATCGTAACTCAAATTAATTCGATCCCTTTATTAGGTGAATGGTATTGAAACAAACTATGATATTGTTTCTCTCTACCACAATCTTTAATACCTTAAATCATAGGTCTAATAACAATAATTATCTTATAATAAGTTCAATTAGTATGCCTAGTCTATTTCAAACATTCCAACAAGAATAAAACCCTTGATTAAATAGTCTAGTATTGACACAGTAAATAAAATTAAAATGCGATTATTCTACAGAAAACAATCGCATAATTGGGTGCTAATACATTGACAACAAATACATAACCTCTAAATCGCAATTAGTAAATTAAAGCAATAACAAAACAATATGGCAAAAGAGTAATAACAAAAGAGTAATTTTTTGCCGAAAGAGAGGAAGAAGAAAGTGCAGTCAACCTCCACTCAACAGCTCGATAGGTGTTGAGTAGTTTTGGTTGTATAAGTCCACCGTCAACCGTTTCAAAAATACGAAACGATTGGAAATAGAATGACTCGACACTCAACTCAACAGTCAACCATTTCAAAAATAGGGCCCCAGGTGTGGAAGCGGAGCCCGGAGAGAGGAACGCGGAGAGCGGACTCCTCTTGTCTTACGTGTTAATGTTACTGTTTTCCTAGAAGAGGAGCGGAACGCCATGTTAATCGCTTCTACACTCTCCACGTTCCTCTTCCGCGTCTAGGAAAACCCAGCTTTTGAAACAAAATTCAACCTTAATGGCCTTTATTATAGAAAACGTTTGTAGTGGAAACCGTAATTTTGGTTTTGATTAATTTTAAATCTTGTGTTGGCAGATTAGCAGATATGAGAAAAACTTATCACATTTTCGAATAACATTTTCACATACAAATAACTTTCGAACCGTAATTTTTACGGAAATGGGATTTGTACCATTTTGTTCAGAATTTGACGGACTATAACAGACAAATTGTTCAGGCCGTTTTCGAGAAAATCCTATTTTTCCATTACTGTATTTTATGGGTTTTATGGGGAAATCCCACTTAAAAATAAAAATTTCAAGAAAAATTAAAAAAAAAACCCAGAGATACCATGGATTAGTACTTAAATATCAAATTTAATCAAAATAGGAATGTGTCGTCTGTAGCTCTGTACACATCCACACATACAGACACGTACACACCCACACATCACTTCGAAAACCACTTTTTCTGATAAATCCACTCAAAACTCAAACTTAAAAATTTTTACAAAAACAATACTTTCTCCATAATACTATGTATAAGGGGAAAAAGTAAAAATGAAGTAAACTATTAATTTAGCTCGTATTTCTGTAGTAAAAGCCAATGAGGATTTATTTTTTATGTAATAATAAAGAAAACTTTATTTTTTATATAATCTTAAGTCATATTATTTAATTTACAAATGCAACTGTGCATTAAATTCGGCAGACAAAACTAATATGATTATCAAAACATCAATATGACTAAAAATGTAAGTTAATAGTAAATACAGTACTGTAACGTTTCATTGCATCTCTGATACTACTCATCTAGAAAAATATCAACAAACAACATAATATACACACCAGTTCTTTTAATCAGTTCCATAGTCCATTGTCTTTACATTTTCACACTTTACCATTATGTTTACACTGATTTGCTGATCAATTAACTGTAGAAATCATCAATGACTTGAGTGTCAACTTCGCAATCAGTCCGATGCCACTGTAAAGCACAAGGAGAAGGGCCCTGTTTGACCCAAAGCAGCCAGCGGTGATGGGACCAAATGCTAGCTTTGGGCAAAAGCTCCTGCGACTGGTCAAGGAAGGACACGGGTAAAGGCTTTTACCTAATACCTAGTTAGTGGTAAAAGGGCACAATAAGCTACGGTTAACTTGCTAGGACTATGAGTTCATCCCTCTTACTATACAAGAGAGGGGTGTACTTTTTTTTCATTTCATCAATATCAAGTAATTTATGCAGTTCATACACTATGATATGTTGTTAGATTCTTATGGATCTGTTGAGTGTTGACTTCAAATATAAGCAGAATTTTTAGATTAAGTAGGTTCAATAAGTTCTTCTTTCCAATAAATCTAAAATCCATATAGAGTTGAAGTATTTTGTAAACACGCATCAGCATGTACCACTAAGGTTGAAAAAATGTGCATAGAAAATGTGAACCCTTTTATCTAAATTAAAAGAAAAGAATTTTACTATAGTACCTAAGTGGTAAAATAAGTTTTTTGTTTCTAAGGTAAATAACAATGGGTAACTATTTCTCAGCAGATAAGAACAGAAGACAGAATTATCATAGACAAAATGAATTGAATATAGACTATGTCAGCTGTGCTGCAGTTACCATGGTACATATGGAACCGATGGTAACCGCAGCACAGCTGATGGTCTATATTTAATTCTTTTTGTCTATGGAATTATTTATTTTACGTACTCCCCCCCCCCCTGTCATCAAGCAAGGATAGCCTATGGTAGCTTATTCTGCAACGACAACTAAAGAGAGGATACGGTATAAAAACACATTTTATATAAAAATATAATTTAATTGATTCAACATTTTGTGCCTACAAGGAACTTACCTAAAAGTAATAAATACAATTGGATTCTTTCAACTAAAACCTGTTGCGAATGGACTAAAAAAAAAACAATTTATCATTAATGTGTCACATAAACTCCGTTGACAAGTTGGGAGTTCAGTCAAAATAGGTAATTTTAGGATTCCCTGCACTGGCGCTGCTTTTAAAATTAAAAAAAAAATTAAAATTATTTATTTTTTTAATATAGTTTGTACTGAACTGTACATGAATTAATATGAACCATGTCTGAAAGTCAAAGACAACATAAAATGACATTTTGATTTTTCAAATACTGTAGTAAAAAATTAGTAAAGTTTATCTTAAGCCTTTTTTTGTGTTCTTTTAGTAAAACACTGAAAAGAGTTATAAAGAAAGTAGTTGAAACCCAACTTGTATACCTTATTATTCTTACAGAAAATTGTCTTTTTTTACATAATCTTTTAAGTTTTCTTCCCAAGTATTAATGCAGTTAAAAAAATTTAAAATATGTAAAAAAACTTAAAAATGTTAGACCCTTCTTTTAAAAACTTAGTTTTGACATGAAAAGATTATAAGTAGATACTTCATTAAAAAGCATAGCGTATTCTGCATTTTGAATCATATAAAACCTATTTTGACTGAAGTTTTAGGACCATAACAAAGGATTTCCTGACACCCATTTCCTGTTGTGATTTCTGTTATTTCAAACAGGCGTAAAACCAAAAAAAAAACCTATTAAAGTAAGCACATAGTATTTTGATTATGTAAATTTGTATTGAATAACTTGAAAAGGATCGTTAAAAAGTTATTTGGATGCTGTACATGGTTATATTTTAGTTAATACTTCAATCACTAGATTCTACCTATCCCTTTTCCAAATGTAGATAAAAGTATTAAAACTAAGGGAATGAGGCAATAAAAAAGCTCAAAATGTCAAAGCCAATATTAGTGCTCTAATTAAGTACTAGGCCAATGTGTAAGTACATAATCTAACAACTATATTTATAACTTTGTGTTTTACTAACATTTTTTTTTTTATTTTACTCGGCTATTCAACTCTTTAGTTAGTTTTCAATATTAATATCTTTGAAGTTGTATGTTACAGCTTTTTTTACCTTTTTCGATTAAATTGATTTTCTATCTCAGTAAAACATAAATTGTGACATAATTTACTGACCAATATTTTTTTCAAATTTCTGGATGATAAATGCAACTATTTTTAAATTATAAGATATTATCAAACTGATACTGAACCAGATAATTGACATTTTAAGCTTTCTAAAAGCTAATTTTAAGTCACAGGCTAACAAACAGTAATAAGAGAGAACAAACTTACAAAAATAGTGCCTAGCAATGAGTTATAGCATTATACTAACATTACAACAAACATACTTGTCTAACTACCATATATTAACCTCATAGGATTTTTATAAAGTATCACAAATTGAAAGTTCTATCGCTACTTTGATTTTCATTTATACTCATTTATAAAGGCTACTCCCTAATATACTGTTGGTTAGCTACTGTACAATCAGTTAAGTGTATTATTATAGTTTAATATCCCACGTCAACACACTATATAGATATGGCAGGCACAGCTATAAAACTATATTTTTATAATCCACCCAAATCAATACTTTTCCTAAAGTTGAAGTTTATAAAACACTAGCGTAAAAAGTACCGAGAAATGCTAACTTGAACCAAATACCACAATTTTATCCCTTCCTTAGATGATGTTTTGAAATTAAAAAACTAGCGCATTGATAAAATTATACAAAATTACAGATTTTGTCTAATTTGATTTACAATTGCTTATTCTCAAACTTATTTTTGGGAATTTGCATTTGTTTTTAATTACTCTACATTAACTCCTAATCATTCAAGGAATTCAAATAAGAGGTGATTTTTCTCTTGACCTGTTAGGAGCCTGACTAAACATTTTCTAAAACAAGATTTTCATTATTGTCATTTCATCATTAGTATATATACAACAGCTATGTAAAAATCCTAAACAGTTAACTGTTTAAAAGAACAGATTCAAATTTTACTTTGATCTTGACTGGTTTCCAAAACAAAACTAATAATACATTTTCTAAGATCAGCAAAAGTTGTTTTCAGCATTTTTAGGTATAACTTTACAATAAGCAGTTTGAAATCAAGTTATTCTATGGAGGTATAGTTTACGTTTACATAAATTATAACAATAATCGTAATTAAGTTAACTTTAAAATATCCACAACATTAATTATTACTCTACAGGCACATTTTAGCGTTATTATACATCCAAGCGAAACAACTTTAAAACTCAATGATACAAAATATGGCACTATAAAATAAATAATGAAATAAATACAGTAGTCAATTAAACTATTCTGCTTAATACTTATTCAAATAATAGTTAAATAAGAATATTATCTTCTAGTATGCATAGAGCTGGAATTAAGCAGAGCCTCAAGATGATTTATTTCCTAAAGAGTCAAAAACTTAAATAATCACAGTTTGAAATAATAAATTGCTTCACAGAAGCAAGAAATTTTGATTACCTCCGTGTATAAGTACTTGCTATCAAATAAGATACAAATCATACAAATCAAATACTTGGGATATTGTGTATCAAACTAAAAATGGAAATTTTAAACATGTATATCTAATTTTTTCCAAGGACCACCATAACTGATACACTATTTTTATTACAAAAAAAGCTTACGATTTCTTACTGTAAGCATTAACTATTTATGCTAAACACAACAAGACCGAGAGGTTTGGATTGTTCTCTCAACATGTTTAAAGCGCTACTGATGGTAAAACAGTCACAATACATCTTATTGACCTCAAATTGATATAATAAAATGGTTAAATTTTTGTAAACTAAACTCAAACTTTAAAAACAAATATTTTTGCAAATAATTATTTGAATGCTCTTCAAATATCTTTCATTAGAAGTTTAACTTCATGTCATAGATTTAGACATTTTAAAATTATTGTTTCTAAACACAAAGTACATTTCCAAAAGGTAATCATAATAAATAAACATGTTAATGTGATTTCGCTGACTACACCGGAGGCTCTACTTTTCTTCGTCACATTGAGGTTCTCCCAGTCACATGACCACCGACACTGTCAGACTGTCCGAAGACTCTGTGACACTCTCCGTGGATCATCCGTCAGTAGCAAAGTCAGCACTGTCTCGTCGAGTGGCCTTCCTCTTACTCAGGGGTTCAAGATCCTCTTCGGGAATCCTGCCATCAGGGTAGTTCCACGGCTGGACTTTGGAGGTGCCGAAGATTTGGAAGAAAACGTACGTTCCGCAAGCGACACAGCTCGCCACCCAGAACACCTTCCTCCACTGCTCCAAACTTGTCTGGAAAGATATCAAGTGTAAACGGAGATAATTACGCAGAATGATTAAATTTAAATTGAATAAGTAAAATTAACTTATTGTAGGAGCTGATCCCATAGAAATTTATGTCAAAATCGTGAGCTTGCCCTGCAGTGGCGATGAAACCGTGGCCATCTTTAGCAATTGCTGATGAATCGTGAATGTCTCCTACAATCACAGAAAAACAGTATTTTGCAGTCGCCGAGATTTGATTATCCACACCCTTGATTGCTGAAGACGTGATTTTCGATCGCCCAATCTTCACAGATGCTTTCAGTGATTGGGAGGATAAAAACTTGGGTCGAAAATTGTTTCCCTCTAACAAATTATCAGCAAAAATTATTTTCCAAAATAACAAAAATTCTTTCGAGGGCCCAAGTGAGGCCCCCAGCAACCGTCAAGCTATTTGACTTGAACATAAAGAAGTAAAACATTCTTATGGACATCTAGATGGTGGATTTGGACACCTTCTGATAGATGAGTTTTTAGTCATTAAGAACAAACAGTAAACCACAAAATATTCTATTCTAGACAATCCAAGCCATTTACTAACAAAAATGATCACTGAACAATGACAGTGCTAACACCTCAACTAATAAAAGTTCACATACACATCAAAAGGGGAAAATATACAGGGAAATTTACTAATTTTCTCTCTCTTTACACCATATGTTGAAGTCACGTGCTGATTTTAAAGTAAGAATAACTGTGGTCGGTATCATACAAAATTTTCCTCTAATCCACAATATCAAGTTAGTGTGTTTCATTTAGGAGAATATCAGGCAGTTAAAAAGAGAGAGTTGAAGGGAAACATTAGGTTACTGGATTAAAAAAGCACACAAACCAATCAGTGGGTTATTTTTGATAGATTTAGACAAGTTCCACTTAAAACGTTCACCTACCAAACTGGAAACACCTTGTACATAGTTTGAGTCTTGACTCTGAAAATTAATTTTCAACAATACATAAAATCTCTTTAAAGAATCTTTTTAGTATACCGGTACTGTACAATCATTCTGCACAAGCTATTCTATAAAATAATGTTTCCTCATGTAACTTGATAAGTTTTTTTGAAACTCAAGATTTTTGCAACCACTGAACAAAAAACCTGAATAAAAATATTTGTTTACATCTACATTATATGGTAGATCCATAAGCACTCCAAACTACGTGTCCACAGAGAAAAATCTTAGGACAAAATAGAGGTACCAAATATTTTGTTTGAAAAAAGTACCAAAAACATAAATCCAGCCTTGATCAACCAATAAATCTTTATAGTCTGAATATTTACTGAAGTTAGTTAATTAGGTACTATAAAGTGTTACTTACATTATGTTTAAGGATGAAACCAGCAACAATCGGGGAGAGAAAACTAGCAGTCATGTGAATTGTCTGTGCAAAAGCAAGAATAGGTCCTGAAAACATAATATTTAAGAACATTATTCAAAAATTCTCATGTCAATCTAATACAGTACACTAATTCTTTTTTAACTATATAATAGTACTAGCTTTGTGTTTCACTAAGGGACGAGGGTGCAGAAGAGAATATTTTTTTTATTAAATCCATTGAAGAAAAGTAACACACCCACCATTATAGAAACAAAACTCCATTGTACCACTTTTGTTTTAAAATTTCTCTTTGTTTTCATTCCATGAGCATTGACCAAAAACAGAACAAACATAAACCACCAATATTTCTTCTACTTAGTAATGTCTCAAGTTAGGAACATAACAGAGAGGGAATAGAGTAGGGTACAGGCAGAGGAGATGAAGTTTATAAGAGGGATAAGATTTAGACAGAATGAGGAAAGAAGAGCTGAGAAGAGGAATAGTTTAAGAAAGTTTGAGAGAACGTCTAGAGAAGACGAGATTGAGATGGTTCGGCCACGTAAGAAGAATAGAGAATGATAGAATCCCGAAAAGAATGAGTGAACTTTGAATGGATGGAAGAAGATCAAGAGGAAGACCTAGAAGAAGGTGGTTCGACGAGGTGAAACGTGATGTGGAAGCAATGGCAGTATGTGGAGGAAGTGGAATTGTGGAAGGACAGAAGAAGATGGAGAGGCCTAGTGAACACCCAGACCCGAAGATAATCGGAACGGGAGAGGATATGTATGTATGTATGTAATGTCTCAAAACATCAATAAGGCATACTTACCAGCTAGATTCGGTCCTATGTCGACCACGCTAGCCATTGCTCCAGCGTACGAGGCTGTGATGAGAGAGACAGCGATGAACCAGATGACGAGAACTAGAGTAATGTTGCATCCAAGATAGCCGATAGCCAGCAGCATCAGACCGGGTATAACCTGAGCTGTAACATGGGTAAAATGAAAAGTTTCTGAAAATAAAGTGCTGGCTACCAAAACATTATGATAAAGTACAATCAGGAGGTTAATGTTGGTAATATATCACAAAAACGTAAGTTCTCCTACCTATTTTCATTGAGACAGCCTCAACAGCTAGATAACTTTACTTCAGCCAAGCGTGAGAAAATTCTTCGTCAGTATCCATTCTCATGGCTTTGTTTACTTTACCACCTTTTTAAAGGCGTCCAGGGAATATTCTCTCATTTCGGTGTTCCTTGTTTTAAAAATCACAGTTTTGTATCTCCTTCATGCTATTTGTCTAATCTGTCACCCATCTTGGTCATGTAATTTTTATTCTAATAACAATATATTTTATTATGATACTTGAAAGTTGAAACAGCTCTCTTAGTTCCCTAATATGTTTGATTTTCCATTTTCTGCATTTTTTAATAGTAAAAATACTTAAAATGGCAATAATATGTGGAGTTTTTAGTAATTTAGATGGAATCTAATATCTCAATTTAAAAATATAAGTAAAAAATTCACATTCTTGTGGTTTAGTTTTGCAAAAGTGTACTTAAATGAATCACTTACTGTAATGATTTAAGTGATCATACTCACACATAGCAGTAAATATCTTGCGCACGTTGGTAAGGCTAATGAGGTTACGAGTTACAAGGAAGTCGGCCACATAGCAAAACACGACGGACGACAGATAACTGAGCAGGAAAGGCAGGCCACTGAGAACTCCATTCTGTAACACATTGTCAGAAACTCATATAGGCTTACTGCTATTACGTATTACTGGATTTTTTATATCAATATCTGTTTTTAAACTTGAGATAATATTTAAAATATTCACAAATTCAAACTTTTCACCAACCCAAAACCTTCACCGTTAATGAAACTCCGTAAGGGACGGTCAAACTGTAGTAGAGGCCAAAACATGACCTTTCCTTTTCATTTTTATTTGATCAGTATAATGGATAATTGTTGACAACAAACGTATTATACGTAAAACCCCGTTATCATTTAAACATGTCTTGGACATGTATTGTGATGTGCTTGGGAGAAATTCTAGAGTCGTTTTTACATGGACCATGTGTGGGGACAATAAAATCAACCACAAAGTACATAGCCATGGCAAAAATCTGCAAGGGGTCAGGATCAGATCAGTTAGAGGAAAACATTCCTTAGTAAGTGTAAAGTATCACAAATCAGAGCTATATTTTACACCAACCTTCTGTATACTGAAGCCAAGTACTGTCTTCATGTACATGGGGCCTGGGATGATGAAGGTGTAATGGACCCAGATACGGCCGAAAGTTGTAATTCCGATAGCCCAAGCAGGTAGAGAAGTCATGATGGACGTCCATGGAACCTTCATTGACTGGAACACACGTAAAAAATCAGTAAAACACATTAAATGTGCAAAAATAAAATTTTGAAAAATATGAAAGGGAAAAGTGTAGACTATAGGCTATATCATTAAGTCAAATATTTTTTGGAAGAATATTCGTTTATCTACAGAAATCACAATAATCGCTAACACAATACTTTTTACACATAGTAATTTTTCTCTTGTTTGAATCCGTTTAGTTTGAACTTTGGACGTTATGGACTTTAGTTTAATGGTTCTAACTGACACGTTTTTTATGTCTAAGGTGTATAAACTCATGTATGTATTCAATTTTATCTTACTTACTTGAGATAAAAAAATCAAGCGCCTACCTGTCCTCCTTGCACAGAGTTGCCGATGTTGGATTGAATGTACTCAAGTTCCTGCTTGGTGATACGTGGGTGCTTGTGAGGTGAGTCAAATGCAAACAAGTACCAGAATATACACCAGAGTGCGCCGATCGTCCCCGTAGTGTAGAACACCAGCCTCCAGCCAGAGTGGGCGATGATGAACCCTGCTAGTGGATACGTCAGCCCAATCCCAAAACTGAATCCTGCAAAAATTGCAACAGAGTAAAGTAGGGGTAAAGAAATTTGGAACTTACGGATAGACCTAAACAGTGTGACTGGCATTTAAAACCCCACAAAAAATAATTGGTAAAGTAGAAAATAATTTTTAAAAATTGATTACTTTTTGATAGAAGAGGCTTTCTAATATTTTGAACTATGTGTTTAAAATAAATATATAATGTACCTATATAATGTGAGAGAAAAATTGTCAAAATAGGATGAGGAAGATAACCTTTAAGGCTACTAGGCAATCTTTGGTGTTCCAGATAGAATAATTTTGTTATAAACTACAATGATACTGCTTAAAACAGAAAGGGGCAAAATTGTCAAAAAGACTTATATGAATATTGTCTGTACAAAAATGTGTATTATTCAATATCAAAATGTTGGAAAATAGAAGACGAATGCTATTGCTATTGAGAAAGGCAACTTAGAGTATGGATGTTGAAATGAACTAAAATGTGTAACATAAGATACTGTACTGTAAATATTTTCAAACATGCAAAACAATTTGTTTTCAACAAACTGTCGCAGAAACTGCTTATATTTTCAAATTGACTTTATTTGTATACTGTACCTATTTTAGGTTTTTCATTTTAAAATGTCAGCAACTTTATGAGTTTGTGTACGGGTTTTACTATATCTTACCCATCCAACTATTCTAAAAACCAAGAGTTGAAAAACTATTTTGATAATAATATTCTATTATTTGTATGACTATGAAAATAGGTGTTGTGAATAATAAAATAACCAAGCAACTAATATAGTTCCAATACATTTCCATCAAGAAGATTGAATACCAAATACCAAGTTTAAAAAATTAATTAATAAAATAATAACTGAAGTCACTTAATTTTTGTGTTTATTGCACAATGCAAATTTTTAAAGTCTTTGAAAAACTAAATAAACTATTCTTAAGAAATTATAAACTGAATTACTCGTGTAAAGAAACTTTTTTTATTTTTTTGTAAGACATCCAAATTACCCAAGTAATTTTAAAATATTTATTGACTATTGTAAGGCTATATATTCCAAAAGCAATCCAAATGTTAATAAATCATAGTATACAACTTCTATATGTTTAATAAGAATCCAATGAATGTGTAGTATTAGTACAAGTAGTTTAAAAATACATCAAAATAAGAACCTTGAAATGAAGACATAAAACGACTTCGCTCAATGGCCGGAATCCACTGGCCGACGATAGCGTACATGGCTGGCCAGGTCAGGCCCTAAACAACAACAACAACAATAGATGCATACACATACGGGGTATGTGTAACATGTGACATGTTGTACCCCATACATGAAGTCGTCCAAATCCATGCTCTGCAAACACCTTGAAGGAAAACCTAGAATATTCCAGTTCGGCTTGAAATGTCACAGTCTGTGCGACCTCACTTAAGCTGGTGAACAGTGAATTTTAAGTGACTTTTGTGTGGTGGTTCACAACGTCAATTTGTATTTTAGTAGCATGTTAAAATATAATTTTACCAATTCATTCCAGGTACTTGAAAACAAAACTATTGAAAGCTTTTATTAAGACTACTTACTCTAATTATTGTAATATTTAAGGTTTTGTGTAGTCTTCTTTCAGATTATAATCGGTCTAAAATTATTTCTTCCTATGTGCTTTGCTTCACCCATTCAAACTGATAAAAATTTGCCAAGATTAGAACAACACATTTTGAAATCTATCAACATATCTTTTCTTTATTTTGATATAAATGTGATGGGAAAATAATAATATTAAGTTGATAAACTGAATCAAGTTAACACTTTTGAACACCATTGATTATTTATTGCTAGCATTCTTCTGATTTCTTTTCTTTTCCCCTCATCTAGTGAACAAAATTTGAACAAAACTAGTTTTTGGTGGACACACACACGATAAACATAAGTAAAAATTGATAAAATACCTGATTTGAGCAAATAATCAACCAATTCTTTTCTATAATTCCAACTTTGCTTTCAAATTTTTATTCAGGGTTGGTCTCTCCCACCAATTATCAGACAAGCAAAACCTCTCAAGAATTGCACTTCAGACCAGACCAAGATGAGATTCAAACCTCTGTCCAAAGTGATGTCTCCTGGCCGGAGAGACAACACTTTAGACCCTGGCCATGATCAGACTCGATGGTCTACTGCACTGGCAAGACTGGTCAACCCAAGCCCAAGTATGGTAGTTTTATTGGACTCAAAGGCTGCAATAGGTGTCAAGTACAGCGTAACATTTTCAGTTATGTTTGCATAAGTGGTCCTTACTAAAGTTTTGGCCATGTCAATAATTTGGATGTTCAAACAGATTTTGTAAATGAATGATTTGTAACAGCAAAGTAAAAACCTTGTTCCTGGCAAAAGTTTTTCTAGAAGTTAAAACTTTTTCCTTGTTTTAAGTCTCCCTTCAAATTACCGGAACCTAAATGACATTGCAACATTCAAATCAGATCTGAATCATCTTCACAAAAACTTACATTGACATCTGATGCGCTAAAAACTGTTTTATTAATTTTGCCAAATTCTGGAAACCCAGAGAAATAAATGGATGCAGCGACTCACCGAAGCAACTCCTTGGATGGACCTCAGCAAGATGATGACTCCGTAGTGGATATCAGCAGCCGTCGGGATCAGCAGAGAACACGCTGCCGTGGCGAGCTGCGAGTAACCAAACACTGCTTTGGTGCCAAACTTCTGAGTCAGCATTCCTCCCACCACCTACAACAGATGTATGCAGGGGTTAAACAGAGTTTAATGCAGTGGAATGGAATTAGCTCTTTGTCTTGATGATGTTTTTTAAGGGCCGCTTTAATAAATGGGCCCTGGGGCACATGAGATTTTTAGTTAGTTGGGTGTGCAAGGAGGAGACAAATTCCCCCTCTGAAGAGTGAAAGGGGTGCAATTATCTCTTGGACCCATTTGTGTCACATGCTAACTGCAGGCCTGCTTTTTAACTTAAATTATTCAAGAGATATTTCTAAACATAAATATTGTATATTGGCTTGCTACTTTCTGTTGTGCTAAGAACAAGATTGAAATGTGGAGGAATGGTGGAGGATGAGGAGAAGTCAACCTACTGGTGGGTTTCACTTCCGTTCCTCAAATCCAAATTAATGTTTCCGAATCTGGAGTAAGTAGAAATTTATCCTGTTTAAGTAGGAAGGAACTTAGAACATTTTAGTTCACAAACTGGGGAATGAGAAACCACAATATATGAAAAAATAAAATGTTTAGAGCAGTAATGAAATAGAAAAAAAGGATAAGGTGAAAAGCAAAAACTTGAGCTATAAATGTATGATTGGATATGAATAGTAAAGCTATATTCTTCAAGTGGTTGTAATTGTGGAATTGTTGATTTCAGCTATTGTGATTCCCAGAGTCCTAATCTATTGAATAATCTTGTCTTGTCCTAGGTTCTTCTCACATGAAGGTTCAGGTTCGTAAAACTCATGCATCTGCAGAAATCTATTAGACATGATATTGCTAACTATAACCAACAAAGAACTTTAAAAAATTAAGTTAATGTTCCTATAAGACTGTACCTGAGATAAGATGTAGCACCAGTAGAAGGATCCTAAGATGGCTCCCTGGACCGTAGCGTCCCAGTCAAACTCCCCTTCCTCCTGTAAAGCATGTGATTTGAATAAAAAATAAATACAATAATTAAGTCTATAGTCACAGTAAAACCATAGACTAACCAACACAAGTAGACTTCTCATCCCATTGTAATTTTTGAAGCTCGTTTTTCATGTCTAGTTCATGTACGCCACACTGGGCGCTAGTGTCGACGAAATTTTGTTTCTATTATTTTAGGGTTAATTTCTTGATTTGTGCTTTACTGTTTGGTTAAATAACTAGGGGACAATTTATTGTTTATGATTAGATTGTATTATTTGGTTAAACAAGGTTTTAAATGACTGTATTAACGGGAAACAAATTGTAAACAAAACACGACCTCTACATAAACCGTACAGAACTAACAATAACATTGTCTTCAGCTGATCCATTAGGATGAGAAATCTACTAAGGGAGTATGTTTTATCTATGGTAAAACATACCGGTACTTCTGAAATATCATTTTTTCCAACAGGTGCTTAATAGATTTGTATAATCTTGAAGCCATTTTAGTAGAATATTTGTATGAATGATTTCATGATACCAAGGAATGACAATTTAACTATACCTATGAACAGAGTTATCACATTAATACAGGGAGCGGCAAAATAATCTGACGGTTTTCTTTGCCGCCCTGTCGAGCGAATGAGTGGCGTAGGGTGGTGGGAATAGGGGCGTTACAAAGCCAACGTGTGAACATTTTTAGTAGCCATGGAGCCGTGGGATAGCTGAGCAACATGTATTTGTAGTAGAAGTGTTTTTAAAAGTGGAAATTCCTGTGTAGCTGTTCAGTACACGTTTCAATGTGGGTCCAAGGGGAAAAGTCCCAACTCAAAAAACCATTTTGCAGTGAGTAGGTAACTTCAGAGCTACTAGTTCAGTATTGAAAAAAGCCAACAGGCTGTCCAAGTCCAAGGTCAGCCCCGACGCTAGAGAACGCTGAGAGAGTGAGAGAAGATGTGGAAGTTAGTCCTCAGTGGTCTAAACGTTAATAATCCGCAGCTCTGTACTTGTCTGGCCGCTCGATAGAAGAGTATTACAATACGACCTGCATTTCCAATCATACAAAATGGCACAAAATGGTTTACAAAATGGCAATTGTGCAACAGTTGAAACCCAGAGATGCAATGCGCATCTCATTTTCAGAACAAGTAGTGATTGATTTTCTTACACGTAACAACATTTTCATTACGAGCGACGAATCACACTTTGAACCACAACATACAGTATTCCTCATTCTCTTTAGTTTCACACCGAACTAGTAGCTCTAAAGTTACCCACCCACAGCAAAATGGTGTTTCGACTTGGGACTTTTCTTCTTTGACCCACATTGAAACGTGTACTGAACAGCTACACAGGAATTTCCACTTTTAAAAACACTTCTACTACAAATACATGTTGCTCAGCTATCCCACGGCTCCATGGCTACTAAAAATGCTCACACGTTGGCTTTGTAACGCCCCTATTCCCACCACCCTACGCCACTCATTCGCTCGACAGGGCGGCAAAGAAAACCGTCAGATTATTTTGCCGCTCCCTGTACAATAAATTATCATGTATTTTTTTAATGTTTGTAAATTAGTTATTGACTATCAAGACCTTATTTAACACAGCTGATACTCTCAACAAATACTGCACTGTTTTCTTTTGAAGGGTAAATAATTGATATAATGCGTTGATAAAATATTCTACGTCTAAGTATAAACTGACAACTTCTAAACTCTAACAGCATAAGAAATTTTGTCAGAAAACATGCGAATGGCAAATTGTGAAATCCCAATTAACTTCTCCTATGCATACTAAATCATTAGGAATGACTTAATCATTCAATTTGACTAGAGAATGTGCAGCAAGTAAACAAACCGGAGAGTGGACTGGTGACTCGTCGGAGCTGTTAGTGATGGTGCTGTGATCGTAGCAGACGAGAGGATCATCCCCGGCTGTGTCGGTCTTGGGCAGTGGAGGGGGGAGCTTGACCATCGCAACTATCGCGATGTTGATGTCCGTGCGCATCATGAAGGACACCAGGAACCCAGAAAACGACAGCAGGTAGAGCACCACCCGAGCTGGTACTGCATCTGCACAAAGGTACTTTTTTTTATATTCTGGTTCAGTTTTGAGATGATATGTTAGGTATAGTACAAAAAGTGTTTTATTTTCATTACTGTGTTTATAGTTTATAGTAGGTGACTATGTTTATTATTATCAATGAAAGTCATTATATTCCCAGCTCTTAATTTAGCAAAAGAAAAATCTGTCAATTTTCCCTTGCCTCCAATTAGAACCAAACATAGGTACTATTTTTTATCAAACATAGAATTCTTATCACTCTTGACTCTTATTAAAAAGAGTTGTTTAGCCTCCAGATTACTGCATACTTAAAATAGTTTACAATACCTGCATAGTAATCCTTTGTTGCTTTCTGGCAACTAGATCAGTTCCGTGGAACCATCTTCCAGTCTCAAGGACTCTTATTGGTAATTATTTGTATTTTGGAAGTTAAATATAAAAATATGAATATAAAAAATGTTGCCATACCTTGCAAGGCCTGATAGCAGTACTTGGGCTGTTTGAGGGGAATGTTGAGGTTGGAGTCATCTGGCCGGGCCTCCTCAAACGCTGGCATTGCCTCCGGGACGCGGGCCGTGCCCCCTGTAATAGACCCAAAGTTTTATATCATACAAATACAATATACAGTATATTTTTTTTATTTTCCATGTCATAATCTTCACATTCTGATACAAGACCCTAGCTGGACCGTTTTAACTTGGCATTATCAAATAGCTAAAACCACTGGTGGTTGAAATGATTTGATCCTGTGGTCTCCAGGACCAAAGCCCTGTGCTCTACCAGACAAGCTTGCTCCTCCAACACACCACATAACATGTTATGTGTTTCAGTATACTCTCGTCATTTAGAACACCATGAACCTTACAACATACACTTTGGGGCAGGAACAGATCTCATATCATTGTTATTTTATGTTTCTGTTTCTATGAAGTCATGGTTCAGAATGTTGCTCCGCTTTATTATTTTTACCAGTTATTAACTTATAAAAATACAATCTATTGCACAGCAAGACCTAAGTGGATATATTACAATTATTTTGTAAAGTTTCGATGGTGCACAGTTTGGGACAGTAATACAAATTATTAACTGATTGGATTTTCTTTTTTTCTTGATTTTTGACAAAAGATGGTTACTAAAGTCATGACTAAAAATAAAGATAGGTATTTTCAAAATGAAGAAATAATACCGGTAGAATAAAAAAAACCAGTAGATCTCAATACAGTATTTTAAAATTGAAGATAACGTTTTATATGACTGTTCCTTATAAGTGTAGTAGCACAGTTAGTAGTATCCAATAGTCAATGGTAGTAGTGTAATAATGATAGTCTATGATAAATAGTGAAAGGATGAATTTTAATATTTATTGAAAGAAAAATGTACTGTAATCTTTTGGAGAGTATGGGGTAGAATAAGGCAGAAGCTAGTCAGGTTTTCCCAATTTACAACTAAAAATCGTAATATTTAAGCTATTTCGTATTCAATCTTTTTGATCTTGGTATCGTTTGATAGATGATTAAAAATTCCAAATAAAAGTGTTATTGACATTTTTTCATAAAATCAGCCATTTTCGAGTAATTAAAGTTTAAAAAATTAAAATGGCCGCCATTTTGAAATTTTAAATTGAATCATGATAATTTTTTTCCTAACATGGGTCTCTTTTACCTTAACATACATACCAAGTTTCATTAAGATCGGTTGAAAAATTCAAAGATAAAAATGTTTATATGTAAAAAATATAAATTGGCGGAAATCAGGTTAACGAAGCGATTTTGGAAAAAATGTCATTCTTGATTATCTCTTTATTTTGACCCACGGAATCAGTATGTAAATTATGTCCCCACCTTTTTGAACACCCTGTATATTATATTATAAACTAATTAAAAATATTTTTGGATTCAGTTCCTAATAGGCTATTTTGGATTGAAACTGTCACTTTTGTAAACAAGTCTTACTCACACACTCAATAATTTTGAAATCAATCAAATTGTCCCTTGAAACCCTACCTCACTATATTTTATTTTTTGTTTCCTTGGAAATACGATTAATTTCACATAAAATCCCTCAGAGCTAATTTTTATGATTAGATTTTCTTTTAAATTCATCTAAAACTGTTAACAAAAAACCCATAATAGTTCAGACAAAACGACATTACACAACATACCTGTAATATGACTTATGATGGATTTAAACCATAAAATTGTGCCTGTAAAAGACACAATATGACTCAACCGGTCTATTTTCATTGTTCTAGACATTCTAGTCTATCAGTGACTGGCGTTGAAACATCCAAGATGTTCTTGACTGTGTAAATACAAAAGCTTGATTGAAATGGTTGATATCATTAGTAAACCATTAACTGATAAAGCCGATATTGTTACCAATTGTTACCCATGGTTTGATATATGAGTTGTAGCTTGTTGTTACAATGAGTTGTTTGGTTAAAAAATGTGTACCGGTACACTTAGTTTATTCTGAGTCAAAAAAGTTCAACAAATAATTTTGGTGAAATAATGTTGTTGAAACGTTTTTAAGTGTTGTGTTAGCTTTGACATTTTAAGGTGTTAACTTTTAGTACCATATTTCCAAATATTTTAACTGACTACAATGACAGAATATCGCAAGTTGTATGGTAATTCCTCCAAAATCTGGGCTAATTAAGGATGAATTTGTTTAATGTATTTCTAGATTGAGTTTACTAAACTCAATAAGATAAAGGTTGTGCATCTTTATGAAAATGTTTAAATATATATCGTTCAAACTAAAAGATCAAAAATTTTCTATTGTTTCCTACTTAAAATTAATTATTTGTTTATTTTCTAAATAAACATCACTTATTCACAAAAACTAATTTTACTTTTAAAATTAAAAAAAAACTAATAAAATTGTACATAAAAAAATATGTTAATTTATACACTTAATCTTGCTACTTAAGGCCTATAATGTTCACTTAAAGCATGTTTATTTCACATTGTTAAATATACATAATAATGCTAATTGAAGAAAAATAACTCTAAAAGAACAACACGATTCACCAATTTGATTACAGTGTAAGAAATATTAAGATCAACAAGTTAATTTGTTGTTTGCTTAGTATTTTTGCATTATTTCATGATGTAGTGTATGAGTCAAATGAGAATACAGTTAGTAATATCCGCTGAGTCACCCAATTTATGCACTTCAGCAAATATGTAATGCCAACCAGCAAATATAGTGAATTTATGTTTGTTACACAGAAAATTTTACATAAAACCATCATAAAGTAGCAAAACCTTCTTCGGTGTTATATGTATTTTGATAATATTTTAGTACAAGAGCTAGTTACTAAAATAATCATGTACAAAACTTAATATTAAATCCAAGCACAATCAAAGATTCTACATATTCTCATTATATATTTATCTAAGACAAATTTTATTTTTTTTTTATTTTTTCACTTAACCAGACAATGTTTCTGTCCAATAGATGTAGAGTGTTTTTGTTTATTTTACTATCAGAAATTACTCTGCCAAAACAGTAATAATGACTTAGTATAAATTACTGTACTAAAATTTCTTTACAATTTAATTGGTCTAATATAAATAAAGAAATACTTGTATTGTAGAGAAATATGCAATGCAAACGATTATAAATACAAATAAGTTTATAGTAGTATTACGCAACGAAGGCACGTACCTTAAATTTTCTACTCGTGTCGTTATCACTATTTACACGAGTTGCTCTACTTCACAAACGACCGATTTTTAATTACTAATAATCACTATTCAAAACTTTTAAGAGAGGTTATGTTATGTTTTCGTTTGTAACCTCTCATTGCCACTGACATTGATGCAACGACTCATTGAACCGACTAATTACACCAATCGTTAACAATTAAATTGGTAAACAGCTGATTAGTTTAAGTTCGAAGCATTGCAATTTTACTTCTTCTCTCTCAATCCTTGAACCTCATTGTTTCGTTGTCGTGTTGATAAGTAAAACTATGCTGTTACTGTATGTAAGTAAACGCTGTTATGTGAAACTTTACAATTCTAAGAACTGAACTGAAACTTTAAAAATGGTCGTAGGTAAATGAATTTAATAAAACATTTTGAATTACAACTATGTTTGCATTGTCACAATAAATTATAAAAACGTATACAGACATGCACATTTTTTTACACACTAACAAAATATTTACTGCCAAGCTCATGACCCTAACTGATTATATTTTACCCCAGTTATTTAAAAAGATCTATGCTTTACCTATTTATGAGATTTAGACTTTAACCTTTCATTCCATCAATAAAACAGCCGTTTTTGGTGCAGCGTGACAAAAAATGCATGCTTGGGCCTAATCTGTTTTGGATTAAGTGTAGAATTAAATACACTGTAAACATAATAAAGATACCGATTTGGAAATCCCTTCTATTAAGCCTACTAAATAAGTTTGGGATGCTCTGATATATTTTACATTATAGGTATAATATTGTATGTTGATAATAAGAATGAAGTTGTAGTTGTAGCTATTATCAGCCCATTTAGATAACAGGCAACAAAACATTTGATGTATTATTATTTGACTTTCCCCACTTTTGGTGGTTGTAAAAGATGTAATATTTATAAATAGAGATTCGTGTTTGATTATAATGCCAAAATTATGAGTAGTTTCCCTATTTATGCAGTGTGAAAACATGTTTTAAAATAAACTAAAAGAACAATGGATAGAAACATTCAATTCTATATTCATTATTAAAATTTTATATTCAGCATGGAGGTGTTTCCTAAAAATATTAGTTAGTTAATTATTGAATATAGTAGCCTTATCAAAGTCCTTTCCAAGGCCGAACACTAATGTGATACCCCAAATGTTATATAACCGCTAAGGAAAATCATTGACTTAAGATACTGCGAGTAAACTTTCCCAAAAAAGCCTATGCATATTTTGAAATATGTTTGTCTATTTCAAAAATGTTCAAAAATGTTCCCAAAGATTTAAGGACAAATTACAGCTGAGCTTTAGTCTTTAGGGAGAAAATATCGTTGTGTAACCAAGTTGTGTTATATCTGTTAATATTTTATACATTATCAATTGACGTACTGTATTTAAAATTGCAAATTGTTATCGATAGTTGAGTTATCTCTTTCCTACCGCAGTAATATCAGTGAAGGTTTTTCTTGCAGTGATTCACTTCAATGTTGACATATTGTCACGTCACTAGGGTGGTCTAGTATATACTTTTTGGTGCCTCACGCACACTCGCATAAACAATGCCGAGTGTACTGTGTGTGTGCGCGCGAGTGGCGCGACCTACTTAACCTAACCTAACAATCTAACATATGCGATACACGCGCTTAATCTCGCTGTGTTCAATTATCGTAACACCAGCGAAATTACTTTTCCATTAAATGTTCCATAAGACTTGACTAGCTTTAGGTGTTTAAACATGGTTGTAAATAAAAATGTTACTACTGCTACTCAAAATGTCATATTTTAAAACGTTTTTATTAGCTAGCTTTTTTGTCCGCGTACAAATTTTGCAATCAATTTTATAATAACTTCCCGATGAGCTAGAGACTTGAAACTTGGAACATAGCTCACAAAT